TAGGAAGAATTTACAGCTAATTCCCTCCAGGCTATTTCAACCCTTAAATTATACCCAAGAAGAAAAAAAGGGGGGGGGGGAAATGCCATTCCAAGGGGAGAAGGGAAGTAAATGGTACAGATTTGACCATTTGGCTGGGGGGTGTGTGTGTGAAAAATTTAAAGCTTAAAAAGATCTTTGGCAAACTGCTCACAAGTAAATGGAACGTGTGAAATAATTTAATGGCAGAAAATGGGTTGGGGCTCCGGGGTCTGGGGCGCAATGGAAAATGAAACACATTAGGGGAGATGTAGCCTGGGTTTTTTGTAGGAGAGGGTTGAACTTGCTGGCACGGCCCCTGAAAAAGGTGGGTATTTGCACCCCAAAGCCAAGCGGCAGTGCTGGAGACAGCAAAACATGTCCCAGGATGTGGTGGTGCATTTACAGCATCATTCAGGGGAGAGACAGGCTTATAGTGGGATGAGGTGACTGTCCTGGGTCAGAGGGATGGTGCTGAGCAAACGCTACGTTCTGGGTTGAGCTCTTTGCAAAGGAACCCCCCAAAATGGGCATCCAGAGGGGAATCACCCTGCAGCGGTAGGTCGGTGGTGGAACCCACCAGCCATCCCGAGGGATGAGCTGCACTGCCGGAGCATCCCTGGGAATGTCGCGGTCCCCAGGGCTCAGGCGTGCGAGCGGCTGGGGTTTAAGTGCTGGTTGGGTCTGGATCACAGCTGCACGGGGGCCGTTTATCGCTCGCTAATGGAGGTTGTAAGTCAAAGCCGAAGCCTCGGTGGAAATCTAGTGAAAATTACCTCTTTACAGCACTCGGCAGCTGCTGCGCGGGGCCCCCCTTGGCAAGCCCAGCACCCCGGCTCCGGCAGCTGCAGCCCGACGAGTCGCCTATGGAAAACTGATGGAAGTACAGAGGGAAAAGGCAAGAGCTGGAGAAGTGGGCTTGGTCGGTGCTTGGCTGAACCAGCACGGTGCTGACCCAGCGTTGCCTTCACAAACAGGGCAGGACCAGTCACTTCCCAGTTCATGTGGCAGGGTGGCTCTCAGCATGGCAAGGTCCAAGCTTGCCAGGGCCTTCTCCTGCATGGAGAACGATTTTGGGGTGACTCCCAGCACCCCATGGCATCCAGAGGGCTGCCTACATCTCTCAGATAGGCAGCACCGAAGTTGGGCATTGCAAAGAGGAGGCTGGAGGTTACCCAGGCTGCACCCAGCACCCCAAAACTCACCCACATCACGGGCAAAAGGACTCGTGTCTAACACATTGGGGCAAATTAAGGCTTTTTTTTCTGAAGCACACAGGGCTCATCTGCTCTGCACAAAGCCCTTCCTCCCCCACATGTCATATTTGGTTATTCAGTAACGTTATCCCCCTGTTTTCCCCCTTCTCCTGCATTTTTTTTTCCTTTTAGAGGAAATTGTAATCAGTGGAAGATAAATACACCGAAGACGAAGGTGGCTGGGGGGTGACTCAGGAGTCCCCTCTGACCTTGGGGTTGGACAATCAAGCCAATGCCTCCAGCCGTGCCCCAAACAAACATTATAACTGACAAAGGCAAGGGTTTGGCTTTCTCTGTAACCTCCCCGAGTGCTGCCTGGGGGCAAAAGACAGACACTGGGAAGCTGGTTTTTAACTCTGCAATTACAAACTCTTACTCCTGGAGGCCCATTGGGGTGGGGAACTGGTTTCTGATTCCTCCATCAAGATGCCAGCAAATCTGGTTAAATCCAATTCCCACGGATGGGTGACAGGGGGTCCGAGGGGAAACAACCCATCCCCTTCCCTGTTCCTTCTCTGATTCCACAGCTCAGCAATGCTCATTTTTGGAAGGCTGATTTGGGGTTATTAAAGCATCCTTGATAGAAGTGATCCAGCCCGACTTTGTACTCTATAAACCTGTCAGACACACGCTGCCAGCAATTAGGGTGGCATTTATCTGGTCCCACAAGCTTGCGATGCCTGAGCTAATGGGGAAAAGATGTTGATCCATTACTGAGGCTCATCTCAGAGCAGTGGACCTGGGCAGGCACTCCAGGCATGGAACTGCCTCCCTGCGGTATGGAGATAGGGTGGAAAATCGTGGGGAATGAATATAGCAGAGAACTGAGGGGGAAAGCAAAGGTTTCTGGAGGGGATTGGGGAGCTCCGAGTCAAACCCATGTATTTCAGGGGAGGTGTGAGTTGATGGACAAGGGTTTTTGGCCACCAGCATCCTCTGAGAAGCTCCCTGGGGCATCTCACAGAGTTTTGTGTTGCAGAAGAAGGTCCCTCCATTAAAAACAGTAATAGGGGCTGCACAAAACCCTCCAGCCCAGGTCTGCCAGCACGCATACACAACCTGACCCAACTTTGGTCTTGCATCTCCATCCCAGCAGCCTGCCAGCTCCCTATGGGAATCACCCAGCACTGCCCAGCTCCTGCAACCATTTAGCTTTTTACTCCATAGGTTTGGAGAGATGGAAACCAGCCAGAAATGAGGCCAGATCCTACAGAGCTTGTTTGAGAATTAATTTAAGAAACCTGTCCTCTTCCTCCTTGCTTTCAGCCAAATTCGAGTAGGTGGGAGAAGCCATCACTTACGGAAGAGTCCTACAGCCAGAATTTAAATTGGGGATGGAACTAAAGGGACTTATAAATGTTATTTATACATTTACTAAGGTTCTGTTGAAATCACTGCCAGTTCAGTGGGGGGCAGTGCCCTTGGTGACGGCGCTTTCTGAACCAAGACCCTGCCTATAATTTCCCCAGAAGCCCTGTGGGGTGGCCATAAACCCACCAGGAAATCTCTCTCACCCTGTTACATCCTGTAGCTCCTTCCCAGCTTGACACTTCCCATTTTGGTCCCAGGCTCCTGGAAAACTCAGGGACAACCATAACTGAGCTTCATGTATTTTAATCCAGCGTCTCGTTAGCTCACTGAAGGAAAACAGGACCAAAAAAGGAGTTTAACTAAAAGGGGCAACTGGAAAGCAGAGACTGGCAGAACATTTGAAGCTGCAGGAACAAGGGCTGGAGGGAATCTGGAGAATTTTATTTGTGAGCCTTTAAACACAAGCAGCAGCAAAGGGCATCTTGTGGTTTCCTGGCAGGGAAAGGGTCTCAAATCCACAGGTATTTTGGGCACAGCACCATCCATCACATCTTTACCCAGGCCAAAAAGGACATGCCCCAATTACAAGAGCATGGGCTGTTTCCAGCCCAAGAGATGATCAAAGCCCAAACACACCTACAATGTAATAAAAGATCCAGAGAAATGCTGATGGCTGCAACAAAGGCCTGGGAGGTGGACAGAGCTCCTTTTTCTCCCCTAACCATCCAGGGATGCTGTCCTCTACACATAGTCCCAGCAGTTTGGTCCCATCATGGTCAAAACAACACAGCATCCCTGCACGTGCTTGGGATATGAGGAACAGGGCCAGTGGTGGTACCCAGGTCCCACCTCCGCATCCCTGCATCTCCTTCCAGCCCAATGCTTCATCCTTTAACAGGTCAGGGACGGAGGCACTCAAAGCTCCCAGGCCCTGGCATTGGTCCTCACTTATAGCAAAGTGCCAGAGAAGCCATCTGCTCTTTCCAGGAGGCCACTGCCAGCAATAGAAATAAATTTCACTCTTCCTCCTCTGCTGCACGCCCTGGTGTGGCTTCCATTTGGCACCAGGATGTTGGTGGTGCCATCAGCCAGCAGCATCTTTTTTAGAGAAGGGTGCAAGTAAACTCTGCAGAAGCTCTAAGTTTGGACCCTGCTTTAGGCAGAAGGTGATCAGTCTCAGAGACAACCTGGGTTTTTCTGATCCTCATGGCTCATCTCAGGATGAGACAGCCCTTGAGAGAGGTATACTCAGGCAGGAAGGGACTCAATGGAGAACTTGTTGGTGAAGGTTTCATGGCTTGAACTCTTCAGAATAAGGTCAAAGAGGTTTTTCTGGCCTTGGAGATCTCGGAACCCCAAGTTTCCTCCTGCTCAACATCTCAGTGGTATCTGGAAGCAGGAGAGTTAACAGAATCTACTGGAAGGGATATTACTTCCTCAAGAATCATCTGAAAATGTTGCACATCTACTTAATAAGTACCAAGATGTCTTATTAGCAAGCATTTATTTCTTGAGCATATTCAGGGAGCAGTAATTCCTGCCATCACTGCCTCTGCTATGATACAGAGCAGAAAACCCCAATATAACCCTGCTATGAATCAGAATGTCATAAAATTATTAACATTTCAAATAATTCCAAAATACTTTCCCACCAGTAGGTACATATTGGATCCAGATGCTTTGTTAGCAGAAAGAATAATTAACTAGTACCTCCATAAGGAAGAATGGCAACGAGATGTGTTCCCCATGCAGCCTTTGCAGGCAGCTGACTGCCTATCTCGGAAAGAGACTTCATAAACTTGCCTAAACCTGATGATATTAGTGACTAAGAGGAGATTAATCGCAGCCTGGCTGAAAGCCCAAGATCAATACTGAGAAACCAAACTACATCCTCAGCTTCATGTTTCCATGAGCCAGCAAAGCCAGAAATAAACACTGCGGAGGCTGAGCCCTGCGAGACGCAGTGGTGTTCCTTCTTAGCTCTGAAGACCACGGTTGGGTGAACAGATGCTTGGCTGCAGTCCTCTGTCACCTTGGGGACATGCCACAGCCAGGGCTTCTGGGGGTGCTGCAGGTGGGAGCCAAGACCCACATCTCAGAGATGTTTTGGTGCTGAATTTCCATCACCATGCATGAAAGCTTGCCTTAAACCATTAGCAAGAGTCAAGCTCAAGACACGTTGTGGATGTCCTCGTTATGGAAGGGGTTGTGAGATGCAGTCCCAGCAGTTTGGATCAAGTGGTAGCCCAGAATCCACTGAGACTGAAACTCAAAATCAGGTCCAGGTGGTTTTAGCCAGACGTAAACCCACCACAGGTCTTTGCAAACGCTGGGTTTCACGCTAAGTGCCAGCAGGTCCTGACACAGGATTTGATTCTCATGGAGATCACAGGGTTGGCAGGCTGCTCCCTGCAGGGAGCACAGTGGGTACAGAGCAGGGCAGTGCAGATCTCCACGAGGTCTTCAGCCCAGCCAAGTCTCCACATGGGGTCTTGCATGGGTCTGCCTCTCATGTGGCCTCTCCTGTGCTTCCCCCACAGGCGAGAGCCTGAGCCCGAGCCGCGGGGCAGCCAAGAGGAAGAAGAAGCAGAGGAGGAACCGCACCACCTTCAACAGCAGCCAGCTGCAGGCTCTGGAGAGGGTCTTCGAGAGGACACACTACCCCGATGCCTTCGTGCGGGAGGAGCTGGCGAGAAGGGTCAACCTCAGCGAGGCGAGAGTCCAGGTGAGCAAAGGTGCCATGTCCCCAGGCACGAACAGGGAATGTCCCCTCCTTTCTTTCTTCACATCACCATGATCAGTAGGACAGATGCTTGGGACATCCCTGCTTTGACCGTGCCTCCACTGACCACCTTCCCTCTCCGTGCAGGTCTGGTTTCAGAACCGGAGGGCCAAGTTTCGCCGTAACGAGAGGGCGATGCTGGCCAACAGATCAGCATCGCTCCTCAAATCCTACAGCCAAGAAGCAGCCATCGAGCAGCCCATGGCGCCGCGGCCCACGGCACTGACCCCAGAGTATCTGTCCTGGACCAGCTCCTCTCCATACAGGTAGGTGAGGGCACTGAAGGGTCTGGGGAGGAGGTGGCCATGGGACAAGCTGCTTAGGGACCATGCCACTGCTGTGGGAGCACAGCACTGTGCTGCCTCTGAGGATGCAGGGGTTTTACGGGGCTGAAAGAAGCGCATCTGGCTTTGTTTTGGGAAACCATTTCAGTCACATCCAAGCATCCCCTGCCCAGTGTTGAGCAGGCTTCCCTGCCTCCATGCATTTTGAGGCTGGAAGGGGGGCCCTAGTCCTCGCAAGGGATTCGCTTGGCCTCATGCTGACCCTTCCCATATCTCGGCACAGGAGGTGGCAAGGGTCCCTTCTGGTTCCCAGCTCTCCACATCCAGCCATCTCATCCGAAAGCTCAAGGCAGGGCCTCCTGGTGCATAGTTTGAGGGATTCCCACATGCATCCAGCCACATAAAAATGCTGAAGCCTTGACTGCTCTTGTGGGAGATGCCTAAGAAGGAACAGCCAGCCTGGCCTGGGAAGCCGACAGGACCGGCAGGGCATGGGGGTCTCCTCATGGCCATGCCTCATTCCTCCCTTGCTCCTTCCCCACAGCACTGTGCCCTCCTACAGCTCCAGCGGGACTGCAACACCCACCCAAGGGGTGAACATGGCCAACAGCATCGCCAGCCTGCGCCTCAAAGCCAAAGAGTTCAGTCTCCATCAGAACCAAGTGCCGACCGTGAACTGACCAGGGCAAAGCCCACCCCGTGGCCTCATCCAGGATACAGCGTGGAGCTCCTGTGCCGGTCCAGGACGAACCCAACCCACACGCCACTCATCCAATGTCTCAGCACCTCTTTTCTCCTCTTCTCTTCCCTTTTGAAGGTAGAGTCAGTCCCAGGCCGAAGTGGCACATAATTATAGCCACATATGGAGCAAACTTGGTTAGAAACTTGCTTTTCCGCACACCCTTATAATAAAGGCTATATATACACACACATACCCCCCACACGCTCTTCGAGGACAAACAGACTTGCCAAGGGAACAAGAATTTGCTTCCAAACATGGAAGGATCTTGGACTATTGGATTTGACCAATTTGGGTATCTCGCCCAGAGAGCCAAAGAGTTATTGGGTCTTATCCTCCCGCAGGGACAGTGTGCAGTGGTGGGAGGATCATGAACCCCCCTTTCCATGAGGCTGCGACTCGTGATGCTCAACCACACATGCCGAAGCTGACCCGCTCGTTTGCCTCTTTGTGCTTGGGAGAGACTTTGGGAAGCCAACAGCTCGTCCCTGCCACAGCCAGCCCTTTGCTTCATGCTGCCTGCAATTGGGACCTGCCTATATCGATGGCATCAGGCTTTGCCCCTTCCCAGAGGGGTGAGGAGGACGCACTGGGAGCTGTGGGGAGCGCTGCCGGTCCCCAGGCAGGCCGTGCTGCCCTGGGTGGGTTTGCCAGCAATGCTGCAGAGCCTCAGGTCATTGAACTGTCCCAGGGAAAAGAGAAAATTGGAAAAAGCTGTTGGGTTTCAGCTGAGTAGGCGGCTCCCGGTGCTCCGTGCCAACGGCAAAGCAGGCTTTGCCTTCCGGAGGCACAGCCTCGCCGGCGGCAGCTCCGCACATGTGTGCGGGGCTCTGGGGCTGGCGGCTCCATGGGGGTGAGCTTCTTTGGTTTTCCACAAAGGAAATGGTTTCCTCCTCGTCCCACCCTGCTGCCCGGCATCATGAGGTTGCAAGGTGGGACGTGCAGGGGGATGGACACAGGGTGTGCAACTTCGCCCCAGTCCTTCACCCGTGGGACTGAGCACAGAAAGACGCACCCTCCACCTTCCCCTGCCAACATCACAGAAACTGGGGATGAGCCAGAGAGATGGAGGTTTTACCCTGTGGACAAAGCCCTCTAGAAACCAGAGCACTCTTCCCTCACTCACTGCAAAGAGCCACCAGCCAAGCACAGGGACGCCAC